GCTTGTATCGGGTTTTAGGAGGATTTCAAAGGAGGTTTGCTTAGAACAGAAGTTTATTGGAGAAGAACAAGAATTCGAGGTTGTGGTTTCTTATTGGCTACAAGTGGGGGTTAGTGCGATGTTGCTGGGGCAGGAGGGGATCTTCTTGTTCTTAAATGCAGGAGACAAAACTATGTGAAAAATGCCCTCCTTTGCCAGAATAATTCTGGTCCTCCTTCTTCCCACTGGTTACACTGGCTTCAAAGAGTGGTGCATGCACCAGAGCTCCCCCTTCAGGGCTTCCCAGCTCCATTTTATTTATTTATTTTAAAAAAAAATTTTTTTCCCCCAGCTCCATTTTAGATGAGATTTCCTTTATTTATTTTCACAAGGTCTTCTGGGCTCATTATACAAGGAATTTCTCCTTCTGGCAGTGCTTGGCTATTGCCATGGCAACCAATCTCTCATTAGGAAGCTAGAGGATAAAAGCTCTTGGAGAGATTGTAGAAGTATACTTTTGGTCACTAGAGAGCCTGATGGTAGAAGCAGTTCAGTCGATGTGCAATTGATGCAAGCAAGACTGACCCAGGCAGATAAAGAGCTTCAATTCAAGAATGACTCTCTTTAATCATTGGGGCTCTGGGCCCTCTTCCCTGCTTGGCAAAGGAGAGCTGAGTCAGGTAAGAGTTAAGCAGGTGTGGCCTGCAGGACTCTCAGCAATGTTGTTTGTGTATTGCCCTGCATGTTTTACTCCAGCTTCCATGGGAATCAGGATGGGGAGGGGAAGCAGAAAGAAAAAAGACCCAAGGGAAGGTTGCAGTAAAGCTGAATTAAAATATGGGATTAGTAGTAGATGAGCAATGGACTCTGCATGCAAGTGTAAGCAAGGACTTAGGTCAACAGATTCACTTGAAGAACTTTGGAAATACCACTGGCTAGTGATAGGGTAGGCATCATGTAGGATAAGACATGAGAAATCAGGCAGCATGTAGGAATTTTAAAAGCAATTTTAAAAAATAGTGAAATTTACCAAGACATCTTTAACTTTAGGATCTACGCTTTGAACTTCTTTTCCAGTGTCTTCCACCCAGTGCTCGCTGCCCAGGACAGTCTCCCTACCACTCATCAAGAGAAGTTGATGAACTTCCCTTTTCTTCACTTGCATTTCCTAGAGAACAGACCACATTAACTAATGTGTCAGTTACCTAATCGATGTGCCAGGAGGAAAGTTCGAGAACATATTTTTCCATTAGAGAACACACTCATAATTTAACAATAGTTTCCTGTATGATGCTGTTTGTGATGATGATGATGATGATGATGATGATGATGATGACGCTAATCTGAAGGAATGATGTTGCATGGGCTTTCAGTCAAAAAGTTTACGTTCAAATCTTGGTTCTGCCTTTAGGTAAATAACTTAGCCTCTCTGAACCTCAGAACAGAGGGGCTCACTAAAATTGTGCTCCCAGAGTTGTCCTGGGGCTGTAGTGATATCATATACTAAGACACCAAGCACAGTGCCCAGTACAAGGACACCTGTGCTTCAAGTAAACTTCCACCTAGTTGACTTCCCTTCCCTATCTGTTTTCTTTCTTTCTAGCATGGATTATGAAGGCTGGGTCCTGAGGGGTGGATAGAGGAGGAAATGAGTTGTAAAGTTCTCTTTAAATCACATTGCAATGGGTTCTCCATAGATCCTGAATTTTTCTTGAGAATCAGAATAGGACAAATGAAGGAATAGAAAGAGTGGGAGAAAGAAAAAAAAGGCAAAGACGAAACCAAGGCCCTTGCTTAGAGACCTGGAAGACAAACTAAAGGAAGTTGTGGTGAGGGGGAGGCTACATCATTAGTGCACGTGTGTGCATGTGTGTGTGTGCTCCCACACAGAACACAGGTGAGAGCAAGCAACAGAGAGCTGGGCTGTTGGCCACGTGAAGAGGATTTCCTTTCTGTTCTGTACTCCCACCATCCTCCCTACCCTTCTTCTCACCCCCATTCAAGAGCCTGGGTGTCCCCTCTTTTCACTTTACATCTATGAGATTAGCATCAATGGACAGATGTGCAATTATTTCAAGTAACGTTGACATGAAAGAAGCTGGTTCCACAAGCCAAGTCTCCCAGCTAACTCCTTTCTTACCGACTGGACCCATGTGGGAGGGTCACTTCGGGGGACACATTGTCCCTGCTCCACTCCCACTCAGCTTCCTAGTTCCATGCCACATGCCTGTCTCACTGGCCTTCTCTCATCTTCTTTGGGGCCTTGGGTTCTATGTTCCTGGGCCCCAGTTTCTGGTCAGTGCTCTTCTAGCCTTAAGGACAGAACCTTCCTCAAACTATTTCAAGTTAGGAAGAGAGTTTACTATAAACATAGAGGAACTCTCAGAACCTGAAAGTAAGGGACAATAGTAGACCGCACTTCATTGTTTTGTTAGATTAGATAATATATTTGAAGGGTTTAGTGCAGTGTGGGCACATAGGATGCACTCAATCATTGTTAAAGAATATTCTTAGTATCATAATCATCATTTTAGGCATCCAGCCCATTGGCTACTGTACCCATTTTATTTTTGAAAACTGAGACCTCAAGTGGCTGTTTGCCTTACATCGTGCTGCTAATAAATGGCAGAGCCCAGAGTCAGGACTCTCGAGGCTGCTGCCCATCCTAGTCAGCAGCCCGGTCGATCTCATTATCAGTGAGGCTAATTGGAAAGCAGAGGACATGCTCTCAACGACGATTCAACCCACTAGTAAGAAGCTGAGTTCCTGTCATATTCTCAGTGTTCAGAAAGGAGCTTTAAGGAGAAAAAGAAAATGATCCTGTCAAAAAGTTGAAATCTAGTTGGAAGAATTGATTGTTTGATTGACTGACTGATTAAGCCAACATATGCTTACTGGGATCTTTCTCCTGATTGCTGGGGAAAAAGCAGACATGGCCACAATACTCATGTGGCTTACATTTCAGTGGCTTAATGTGTTTATGTGTTGGGGGTGGGGCAGGGGGAAGAAAAAACATCCAAATCTACATATACATAGATGGAACTTGATCTCAGCCCAACGAGGGAATAGCAGAGTGCAGTGAATAGAGATTCTAGTAGAGGGGAAGATTGCAGTTAGGTAAGACTGTCAGGGAAAGCCTCTTTGTAAAGGTAACATTAAATCTGAGACCTGAAGAATGGGGAAAGTAGGCGATGGAAATAGCACCTGTACAGACCCATATGTGGAAGAGTTTACCATGTTGGAAGAAGTGAGTGGAGCCATGTGGGTGGAAAGTGATGAGTGATGAAAGAGTTGGTAGATTAAGTGCCTCTGGAGAGGTGGTCATAACACCCATTATACAGGGCCTCTGGACCATGATAAAAGGTTGGATCCTATTCTAAAGGTAACAGAATGATGTTAAAAGGATTTAAGCTTCTAAATATAAAGCATATTTTAAAACCTTATTCTAGGTACCATGTGGAGACTGGACTAGAGAAGGCACATAAACCACTAGGAGCTCTTACACTGGTACAGGCAGGAGACCCTAGGTCTTGGATCTGGAGGGGGCTGTGAAGATGGGGAGAAGTGTTGACAGAGTCGAGATGGGTTTCATTAGCAGCAATGACAGGGTGTGCAGTGGGCTGGATGAGGCAGGCAGGAAGAGGGAGGGACCATTGAGGCTACCCAGCCTGCTGGCTTGGATGGGCTATGTGTTTTCAAGGAAATTAAAATTTCAAGGTAATTCAAATGCAGCTCCAGCCCTACATGGGAGAGAGGGCATTACCCAAAGATGGAACTTGCCCTGAGTCTTGAAAAGTGGTAAGGATTTGGGAGAACAGGAGGGAGATTGGATGAGCAGAGGGTGGCTTGAGGGACATGAAAGGGGTGGGGAGACCTGACTCGAACAGAGAGTGTGCGGTGGGGAGGCAACAATCCATTTGATTGGGACCCAGTAGGATGAGGGTTAGGGCACGGGTTGTGAAGACACAGCAGAGCAATGTTCTTGCCTATAAAACACAGATGACGCTATAACTGCCCTTCAAAGTTGCTGTGAAGATTAAATAGAATAAAGTTGATACCATGCTCAGACACTGACACATAGTAGGACCGTAATTAATGCTCTATAATCATTATCATTAATATTTTTACATTTACATATATTTATGTATATATAGTGTATGCAATATAGATTACGTATTAGCTTAACTTAAGATAACCCACAAGCCTCAGACCAACTTAGATTACATATTATATGCACACATGTGTGTTTGTATGTGTGTGCATAAGAATTGAAAGACGTGAGAATTTGGATTTGATATGACAGCATATGTGTTTTCTGCTGGTGTGTTTTCTGAGAAGTGAAGTGATCCACTGACTGATATTTAAAGAAGGTGAATTCTGTCATTTGGACCCAGAATGGTCTAGTGAGCAGAGATCCTTACTGAATAACTCAATAGTCCAAGAGCAACTAGAGAATTTAGGTAGCACATACCCCAAAGACTGAGAACATAAAGCTTCATGTGCCAAAGGAGAGAGGGACCTGAATAACTTCATGACTTCAGGATGTGGGGTTCAGAGAGTTCAATTAATAATCACCATGGCCCTACATTACAGGGCCTTTTCATAAAATCTAAATTCGCTTCCTGAATTCTCAGTGTAGGAAGCACTTTTCATACCACATTGAGCCTCCTCTCAAGTTGAAGCAACTTATTTTAAATCCATTTGAATCTTACAGTAAAGGGTAGCCATAGTCTCCTTTATACCCACCACTCTGGAGTGTCAATTCCATTGTGTTATAATAACTGGTTTGATGTTAATACATAAAAGGGAGCTCCGTCACTGAAATATAGTATGAGGATTCCAGTGTTTAAAAAGAAAACCGTAGGTTGGTAGGGATGAGGGTTTCAGCAGGAAGAACTTGATGAGTGTTTACTCCAAATATAAATCTTAATAGGGAGGATATAAAATATAAAATATATATCCAAACTCTTAAGAGAAAGAAGCATGATACAAAGGATTGAAAATCTACCTACAGTACTCACATGTTGAATTGAAGCCTCCATCAGATTGAGTCCCCCCAGGATTGGAATGAACAGTGCCTCCTGCAGACATAGCACATAAATAATAAACTGCTATGTTAACCATGAGCTTGTTTGTTACCTCTGCAATACCCATCCTGTTCTGGCTGTTATCACCAGCTCTGGACACTGACCTCCCCAGAATTTCACTTTGCTTTAGGGCTCTTAGGCAACTTCAGGCCAGCTGAATAATACTTTTGAAATAATAGATGTAATCCAGGATTTTTGCTGTTTCAGGTGTGAGTAGTTGTTCAGGGTGTCCAAAGTACCACACAATCTGAGATGGATGTCTAGTTTTGGATACTTTTTCGTGTTTGGGGTGGGGAGGATTAATCTTCTTTGGAATATGAATGAAGTAGAAGGTCTATCTGAAGTTCCATCTTGCTGGTTCAACATGTGAGCAGAATGCTAAGGAAGTATATATGAAGGGTTTCATACAGGTTACTCTACTTTAGTCTGTATCCCAAGTTTGCACCCAAACCTGCCTCATCATAGAATTATTTTTTTAATTTTCTAAAGTTTATTTATTTTGAGAGTGAGCACACAAGTGGAGGAGAATCAGAGAGAAAGGGAGAGAGAATCCCAAGTAGGCTCTACACTGTCAGCACAGAGCCCAATGTGGGGCTCAAACCCACAAACCGTGAAATCATTACCTGAGCTGAAATCAAGAGTCAGCAGCTTAACTGACTGAGCCACCCAGGTGCCCCTTATTTATTTATTTATTTATTTATTTATTTATTTAATATAGTTTATTGTCAAGTTGGTTTACATATAACGCCCAGTGCTCATCCCAAGTGCCCTCCTCCGTGCCCATCACCCCCCTTCCTTATAATTCACATGCCATACAATTCAGTCATTTAGAGTGCACATCTTAAATTGGTTTTTAGTATATTCACAGACAAATGCAATCATCACCACAGTCAATTTTAGAACATTTTCATCACCTTAAAAAGAAACCTCAGGGGTTCCTGGGTGGCTCAGTCAGTTAAGTCCAGCTTCCACTCAGGTGATGATCTCACAATCATGGGTTCACGTCCCACATAGAGCTCTCTGCTGACGCCTCAGAACCTGGAGCCTGATTCGGATTCTGTGTCTCCCCCTCCTTTGCCCCTCCCCTGCTTGAGCTAACTAACACATACTCTCTCTCTCTCTCTCTCAAAAATAAATAAACATTAAGAAAAAAAAAAGAAACCTCATACTGTTTAGCTCTTATTTCTGTGTACCCACATCTAGGATTGGTGAGATGATCTAGTTGCATATTCTTTCTCTCCAGTCAATAGTAAAATTATGACCTTGTCTTAACATGAGTCCTTGATTGCAAGAAAAATAAGGAAAACAGGGGCCCCTGGGTGGCTCAGTCGGTTAAGCATCCGACTTCGGCTCAGGTCATGATTTCACGGTTTGTGGGTCCGAGCCCTACATCGGGCTCTGTGCTGACAGCTCAGAGCCTGGAGCCTGTTTCAGATTCTGTGTCTCCCTCTCTCTCTGACCCTCCTCTGCTCATGCTGTCTCTCTCTCTTTCTCTCTCTCTCTCAAAAATAAATAAAACATTAAATATTTTTAAAAAGATAAGGAAAACAATCGGGCCTTTGCTCATGAGATTCCTTACACATGGGCCTCTTTGCTACTCATGGCCAAGAACCTCAACTGCATAGAGAAGCCTTCTTGACACACTCATTGAAGTTAGACTCCTTCCTCCTTTGCCTCCACCCTTGGTTCATTTCTTTCATATCATATATTATACTATTTTTTGTTTAAACTTTATTGAAGCATAGTTATATACAATAAGACATGCCCACTTTAAGCAAGCAATTCAATGAATTTTGACAATGTGTATAACCAGTGACTACCACCCCAATCAAAATATGGCACACATTCTATCACCCCCAGATACCCTCCTGTTCCTCCAAATTCTGTCCTCTCCACCTCAATCCCAGGCAACCCTTTCTATCATTACAAATTAGTTTTGTCTGTTCTTGAATTTCATACTAATTATAACTTAAGTTGTTAGCTTACTTATTTCTTTGCTGTCTCTACTTCTAGACTTTTCTTAAACCATAATTTTCTAGCACAGTGTGTCTAGCACAGAGCTAGACAGTGTCAAAATGAATGAATCCCAAAACATTGTATTTATCAAGTTTAATTTTTTTTTAATTGACACATCTAAATATTTGACGGTAACAGTGAAGACTTAATTGTGAAGTCTAACAAATAGGAGTCTCTTGTTCATCTCTTTTGCTTTCCCACCCTCCTATTTTTCATCACAACAATGTTAAAAATAGCCAAGTGGGAGGAGAGCTAGGTAGAAGTCATACTCTTTTGCCTTTGGGCAAAATTTATTATCATTTTGAATGAAAGGGTAGGAGTGGTCTTGTTCATTTGTAATGTTCTGTAACTTCCAACTTTGAGCTTTTGACTTTGTCAGTGAAGACATTTCTAAGGGCATCTTGCAATTCCATCCAAATCCATCCATGACCTTGACAGCAGGATATGAGATCAACTGAAACCACATCTCCATTTCTGAAAATACACTCAAGATTGGTGTCTTATCAGCAATGCCATGGCAACTCTGACAAAATATATTTACTATGATTTAATCAAACCCTGAGTCACATACCTTTGAACTGGAACTTCTCATTCATGCATAGAGGAGGATGGGGTCACTTTGGCCATCTCTGCCTTGTAGATGGAGTTGCTGAGGTATAGAGCTCCTTCTACAGAGTGTTCTTCCTTGCTTCTTTGCATGCATTCACTGCAGGCAGTGTGTGCATCTCCCTTCAGCCGAAGTTCTAAATCTCTTTCTCTCTCAACTATCTAGGACACATGAGAATTAACCTACTCATGTAGATTACAGGGCCCCAGCCCTCATTAACCTTAATATTGAAAGAAATACAGCTTTTGTGGTAGAAGTGGAAATGCCCTTCCACTCAGCACAAATAGCAACATTTGCGTGAGCAGAGGAAATGGACTTTCTAGGCTGTAGTTTCTCCAATGTAAACATTTGTTTCCAGTTAGTGAACATTTCATGTATATAATACCCCTGGATTGGTGGACCCCTTTATAAAGCATTGTAAAATTGTATCCCTAAGGTTGTTTTTATAAATAGTAGATCAAGGTGCTGGCTACTCTGTATTTTCTTTTTTGATGTGCTTTGAATTAATGTCTCTGTCCTGAAATTCTTTCCTTCCTCTACAGGAGGTATTTGATTGCTATTTGTTGAAGAACTGCACAGCTGGCACTTGGTTTTTAAATGTTGAAGTCAAACGTGCCCTAGACCTTCTTTTTACCAGACGCAGGCTGTCTGTCTGTCCCCTCTTGCCAGGTCTGACCTGTACTGCAGTGGGATTTAAGTACTGAGGGAATCTCAGCTATGCCCTCATTCCTTCTCTTTGAAGAAGTTGCTTTTGTCAATGACACTGGGCTTGGGGGGGACAGTCACCATTTGGGGGGATGAAAAGAGGGAGGAGAGGACAGGATATAAATTCATAACCCTAGCAAATTAGAGGAATTCCTGAGGACTGGCTTGTGCCTCTGAGAAGGCAGACATAGAAGGCGAGTGGGGAAGCAGCCCAGCCCATGACTGCTGGTTGGCAGGATGGATTCTAGAAGCAAATAAACCTGTGTAAGAAATGTTGGGCAAGTTGGCTATACTTGAAACTCAGAACTCAGAAAACTCAGTACTCAGAAACTCTCTCATTTTGCTAAGCCCTGATGATGTCCCCATTGCCAGACCAGGATCAGGCTTTTCCACAAAGGCTGGGCAAATATCCATAACTATTCATTCTCTTTCATTCCCTCTCCAAATAGTCATTACTCTTCTGGCCCAGGCCAACAGGCAAATATTCAATTGCCCACCAGAATGAGTTGATACTGTTTGGAACTGTGTTTTTCAAACTGTAGGTCATGAGCCATTAAATGAGTCTTGAAATGATTTGAGTAGGTTACAATGAACATTTTTTTTTTTTAAAGCAACCAAGCAGGGCAGAAAATAGAAAACATCAGAGTATACTGTGTATAGTGAGGGTGAAGAATAATGTTTTGTGGGACTTGGCTTTAGTCTATATGCATATGTACTGGGTCGCAACATAAATGTGGGGTTTCTTTGTGGATCATGGTGAAAAAGAGCATTTGAAAATTACTGGTTTACAACTACCAATTTTCAGATATTCTTTTAAGAAATGATTTTATTAGGAAACTTTTCAAATATCCGTAGAGGTAGTGACAATAGTAAAACAGACCCCTTGTATCTGCATCTAGTTTCCAAATTATCTTTCATAGATAGTACTATCCTATTCATTTTCTTCAGTAATTTATTTTTCTTCCTTTGCTCTGTCTTACCAAATGCGGGAAGATTTCAGGCAGAATTGAGGTAATCCTTCCTGATGGTTCAAGTTGTGAATATTTCAGGTCAGTTGAGAACCTTCTTGAGAGGCCTCAGGAAACCCCTGGGAAAAACAAGTATGGAAGGAGAATTGAGGCATACCTCACAGATGCTGCTTGTACCAACACTGTGCCTTTTCTTTTCTTTTCTTTTCTTTTCTTTTTAACAACAAAGCATTTTTTATTAAGATACATACATTAATTTTTAGGCATAATACTCTTGCACACGTAATAGACTACAGTATCATGTAAACATAACTTTTATATGCACTGGGAAACCAAACAAAATCATTTGACTCACTTTATTGTGATATTTCCTTTATTGTGGTGGCCTGGAAATAAACCTGCAGTATCTCTGAGGTATGCCTGTTTCCAACTTAACAGAGATGAATCCCAAAAAGATCAAACATCAGACCCCAAAAAAAAAAAAAAGCCACCCAGTGCTCATCCCCACAAGTGCCCTCCTCCATGCACATCTCTCTCCTCCCCCCCCATACCCATGAGTCCTCAGTTTGTTCTCAGCATTCAAGAGTCTCTCATGGTTTGCCTCTAGGTGTTATATAAAAAAAAAAAAAAAAAAGCCAGAGAAGCCTATATATACCATAGAATTCCATCTATATGAACTTTTTTTTTTAC